GATAACTTCACTTAACATGATGTTGAGGAAGATTTTCTTCTCTGGTTTTCTTTTTCTTTCTTTCTTTATCACTTGAGCTACTCCTCCAGTCCATTTTGCTCTGGTTATTTTGGAGATGGGGGAATCTCATGAACTATTTACCCTAGATGGACTCGAACTATGATCCTCCCGATCTCAGCACCCCCCCCCATAGCTGGGATTACAGGAGTGAGCCACCAGCGCCAGGCCTCTGGTTTTCTTTGGTTGATTGTAAATCACATTAGTATTATTGGTTTTGCTTTTAGTGGGGAATGGACACCTGTGAAAAATGCAGGTCTCTATTCAAATTTATCTTCCTCCAGAAGCCTTTCTAGTTCATATTAAACAGTCCCAGATTGCTCTCAAAAGCACCTGTGTCAGTTTTCACCCCCCATGAAAAGCTCGTGTGGCCAGAACCCCGAGACGGTCGCAAGGAGGCGATTTGGCCAGCAGAGGGCGCCGTGGAAGCGCGCCCCAGGCGCGGGGCGGGGCGGGGCGGGCCGGGCGGGCGGGAGGTCTGTGGGAGGACCTGACCCCACCGCAGCAGAAGGGCCACCTGCCCTGGGCGTAGGGGCTCAGGCCAGTATCCCAACACTCTGGAGGGAGGGGCAGAAGGATGGAGAGTTAGGCCAGCTTGGGCTGCACAGTGAGTCCCTGGGTCAAAAAAACAGTGCAAAGCAGGCAGAGTGGCTCAAGTGGTAGCAAGCCTGCCAAGCAAGTGTGAGGCCCTGAGTTCAAACCCCAGTGCTGCCAATTAAAAAAAAAAAAAAAGCAATTATGTCTTTAATCCCTACTTGGAGGTTGAGAGTGGGAGACTGAAGTTTGAGGGCAGCCCAGGGGAAGATCGTTTGCAGGAAGGACCCCACCTCCAAAACAAATAGAACAAAATGGACTGGAGTGTGGCTCAAGTGATAAAGCACCTGCTTTGCAAGTGCAAAGCCCTGAGTTCAAACCCCAATCCCACCCCCCCAAAAAAAAATCACTCCCCAAGCACGCTGCACAAGTTGAATCCCACTACCTGCTTTGAAGATAGCAGAAGTGGAGTGATGGGAGAGAACGCGGTGCTGACAGCCACACCTGTGAGTCCAGCACTTGGGAGACTGAGGCAGGAGGAGGGAGAGGTCAGTGCAGCCTGGGCTAAAACAAAGACACGGACTCAAAACAAGAAGGAAGCCAAACCGCAAAACAAAACACATGTGCAGAGGTTGGGGGTGAATAACTTCATTAAAAAACTTTGTGTGCTCCTGCCTGTTGAATATTGTGTGTGTGTCTCTCAGCCTGGTGCCAGTGCCTCGTGCCTGTGATCCTAATTATTGGGAGGCTGAGATCGGGAGAATCTCAGTTCGAGGCTCAGCTCAGGCAAATAGTTCCTGAGACCCTATCTCCAAAATAACCAGAGCAAGGTGGACTGCAGGTGTGACCCAAGGGGTAGAGCGCCTGCTTTTCCAGCAGTGGAGTTCAAACTCCCTTTCCACAGAAAATAAATAAACCCTTCATGGCAAAAGATCTCAGTTGTTTATATACAGTTTAAAGACCACTGAAAAAGGTACCACCCTGCTTGAGAAACAGAGGTTGGAAGCTCTGTGTGAGGCCTCTCCTTAGCCCTCCTTCCCAAGGCAAACACTCAGAATTTTTTTTTTTTTTTTTTGGTACTAAGGTTTGAACTCAGGGCCTTAAGCTTACTAGCTCTGCCACTTGAGCCACGCCCCAGCACAACACTCAGAATTTTCTTTAGTTTTACCAGCTCCGTGGGGACAGGTGTGTATTCCCAAACAACAGACAGTTTACTTTGCCCGCTTTTAAACCATATGTAAATCCAACTATATATAATTGTTTTTGGCTTCTTCTCAACGTTATTGGCTTTTGGGTTTTTGTGCTTGTTTGTTTATCACTTTGAGGGGAGTAGGGCAGTACTGGGGTTTGAACTCAGGGTATTAAGCTTTCCAGGCAGGTGCTCTGCCACTTGAGCCAGGCCTCAGCTCTTACACCGTGTTTTTGGTGTTTATCTATTGTTTCATGGAGTTGTAATTCATTTGCAGTATTTATTTATTTATTTAGACAGGGTCTGGCTGTGTAGCCCAGGCTGCAGTGGACCTCACAATCCTCCTGCCTCAGTTCCCAAACACTGGGATTGCAGGTGGCAGAGCAGCGACAGCAGACTTCTAATTCCTTTTTCTTTTTCTTTTTTTATTATCTTTTTTTGTGGCACTGGGTTTGAACTCAGGGTCTTATGCTTGCTAGGCAGTCACTCTTACTGCTTGAGCCACTCCACCAGCCTTCCTTTTGTGTTGGGTTTTTTGAGATAGGGTTTTGCCAACTATTTCCCCGGGGGCTGGCTTTGAACTGTGATCCTCCTGCTCGCTGTCTTGAGTAGCTAGGCTTACAGGTGTGACTGGTGCCCGGTTTGTGGCTCCTTTTTATTGCTGTAAAGGATTCCATGTAGGATGGCACTTGTGTTTATTAAGCCATTCTGCTGTTGGTAAGTGTCTGGGTGCTATCCAGTTTGGGGGTTTAGTTTGTTTTTAGGAACAAGGGTGCAACGACTGCTCCATTGTTCAGTCTGGGTTTGGGGCCCTGTGGAAGCACCAGGGGAGGGTTTTTTTGTTTTGTTTTTTTTTTAAATGCTGATGCCAGAAACTCCGCCCCAGATAATTAAATCAGGATGTGTGTTCGGTGGGGGAGGGGTGTTTTGAACGTTCTCTAGGGAATCCTAATGCACACCAGGGCTGAGGGGCCCCAGGAGGCAAGTGGCTGGGAGGGGACAGTCACCTGTTCCTAGCTGGTGTCAAGCTCCCCCCTCCACCCCACAGGGATGCTGTGCCCATTGACACTCTCGCCAGCCCCACATCCTTCTCAAGTCTTCATACTGACCCATTTCTTAAGGTTTGACCTTCTGGTGGGTGTGAAATGCGGGCATCTCACTGCGGGGTTAATTTGCATTTCTCTAATTACTAATGGGGCTGAGCAGTTGGTGGAATTGCTGCTGGAACAAAGAATGAAAAGAAGCTAGCCAGGTGAGGATCCAGAGGACTGACTGAAGGGGAAAGGAGGTTGAATGGCAGGTGCCAAGGTCCTGTGGTGGGAAGGGGCTGTGAGGGTGGGGGACAGAAAGCAGGTGGGGGGATCATTGTGCATGAGACAGGGAGAGCTCCAGTCAAGGCCAGCAGGGGCTGATCAGCAGGTTATCCTGGCAAGGACTTTGGCTGTTTCTCCCATGGATGAAGTTGGGCGTTGGGAAGGTTATTTTGATGGGGTGGGGGGGCAGGGTGTCGCTCCGGCTGGCTTCAGGTGGCACGTCGTGATTGAACTAAATCAACAGAGCGTGTGTTCCCCGTGAAGACCAACTCTTGCCTGCTGCCCCTCACTCAATAGAAAGGGGGGAGGAGGATTTTCTTTACACCTGCTGTCCTTAGTGACAAACCCCTGGCCTTGCTCTTGTTGGTGACAGGGGTCTTAAGGGTCTTCATGGCCATTGTCTCCCAGGTGAAACAGTACTGCAGGCCGTGGCAGTCATTTCTGTGACAGTATGTCTAACACAGGAGCTGGGGCCAGGGTACAGCTCTCCTTCCCCTTGGCCCACCCCACATGACGTCAGTCACTGTCCTCTGTGGCTTTTCTAACACAGGACACATGATTCTCAGGTGAGGGGGACCCGCCTCAGCCCTGCCCTCTGCTACTTCTCTCTCCCACCTGCCACTGTGATGTTTTCAACAAAACGCTGAACAGGTCGGTCCCTCCTCAGCTGAAAATCCTTTCCTGGGTCCCCAGTGCCCTTGAGGCAAAGTCCAAACTCTGAGGCCCTGGAGGCCAGCAAATCCGACCCTCCCGGCCTGCCTGCCCACCCCACCCCACCCCACCCCACCCCCGGGAGCTCTGTAGTAGTTACTGATTGGAACCGCAGGCCTCCCCCTTGCTAGTTCTCCACTTCCTCTGAGAAGTCGCCCCCCGTCAGGTGACCCGCCTCTTGACTGTCACCGTGTCCTGTCCGGTCTCTCCTCCAACCCTCATCAAATACACTTCCCTCTGCCGGACGGGGAGCCACCCTCGGGCAGCGACCCTGAGTGTTTTCAGGGCTGTATCCGCAGCTCCAGGAGCAGGGCCTGGCTCACGGCGGGCGCTCGGTAAACACTCGCAAAGTGAAGGGACCCAAACGCTTTTGCTGGACGACGTCAGACTGCTTTGCAAAAAGGCTGTGGCAGCCGGGCGCCGTGGATCACACCTGTAATCCCAGCTACTCAGGACGCAGGCATCAGGACGATCGGGTTTGAAGCCAGCCCGGGCAAACAGTTCGTAAGACCCTATCTCGAAAAAAATCCATCACAAAAATAGGGCTGAGGGAGTGGCTGAAGGTGAAGTCCCTGAGTTCAAGCCCTAGCACTGAAAAAAAAAAAAAAAAAAAGGCTGTGCCATGTCACATGCCAGCAGCCAGGGGAGGGTCATTTCCTCGCACCCTCCGCAGCGGTGCACCGTCCCTGGCTCTGCGAGGCGCCGGGGGAGGAAATTTCCGGCGGGTTCCCAAGCCCAGGGCGGAGGCGGTTTCGGAGGTCAGGTGCGGAGATCCGCGGCGGCACCAGGGGGCGCCAGAGGCGCTCAGACGCCGGGCACTGAGCGGGTGGGCGTCCGGCGTCCACTGGGGTCCCTCCGTGCGGGGACTCGGTTCGCCGCGGTGCCGCCCCGCCAGCCTGCGGTGGGGGACGTGCCGCAGACGGGAGTCCCGGACTGGCCCCTAGCGCCACGCGGCGCGAGCCCCGCCAGCCCCGGCGCACCTGCTCGGGGCGTGGCCTCCGCTGGAGACACGCCTGCGATTGGTGCGGCGTTGACAAAGGGGCGTGGCCATCGTGGCCCGTCCCGCCCGGGCTGGGTACTTAAGGGAGTTGGCGGGGCGTCTGCACTCACAGCGCCGCGGCCGGCCTCGCTCCTGGTGGTTTTTTTTTTCTTTTTCTTTTTCTCTTCTTTTTTTTTTTTTTTTTTTTTTTTTTTTTTGCGGCTCCTGCGCGAACCGGCGACCCCCGGCTGCCTCAGCCACCATGCCGCGCTCTTTCCTTGTCAGGAAGCCCTCCGACCCCCGCCGGAAGCCCAACTACAGCAAGCTGCAGGACTCCTCGCCGGGTGAGTGGCGGGGTGCCAGACGCCGGGAGGTTGGGGGGCCCGGGGGGAGGGGCCGCAGCCGGAGTTGAGCCGCCGGCGTCGGGGGGCGGGCTGAGGACGGGGGGCAGACGTGGGCAGGTGGATCCAGGGCCCCGGATCTGGCGGTCGGGGGCAGGGCTGTGCATAGTGGGCAGTGGTTGCCGGTGCGGGGACCTTGCGGCCGCGAGGGGCGGAGAGCGAGGCTCCGCGAGTGTAGACTGGAGGGGAGGCTGTGCCAGGAGAGCCGGCCAGGCTGAGAAGAGTCCGGAGTCCAGAGGGTGGGGGAGGGGCGGGAGCAGAGGCCGGGAGGGGACTGGGCAGGGTGGTGGCCGGGGGCCTGGGGTCGCGGGGGCTCTGGGGGCTGGGAAGTGAGGGTCCTCTTGACTGGGCAAGGAGGGGCTGTGCCAAGCGGGAACCTGCTGCTGATCTCATCTGGTAAGTCCTGGCCCCTGGTGGGCTAGTCCTGTTTGTTGACTGGCTGGAAGATCAACTTGATGCTGACCCTGCCCTTTTCTCTTTCCCTTCAGAGTTTAGCTTCCAGCAGCCCTACGACCAGGCCCACCTGCTGGCCGCCATCCCACCTCCGGAGGTCCTCAACCCTACCGCCTCCCTGCCCACCCTCATCTGGGACTCCCTGCTGGTGCCTCAAGTCCAGTCGGTTGGCTGGGCCTCCCTTCCGCCCCAGGAGAGCCCCAAGGCAGGGGAGCTGACCTCCTTGTCCGATGAGGACAGCGGGAAGGGCTCCCAGCCGCCCAGCCCACCCTCACCGGCTCCTTCGTCCTTCTCCTCCGCCTCAGCCTCTTCCCTGGAGGCCGAGGCCTATGCTGCCTTCCCTGCCTTGGGCCACCTGCCCAAGCAGCTGGCCCAGCTGTCCGTAGCCAAGGACCCCCAGGCTCGCAAGGCCTTCAACTGCAAATACTGCAACAAGGAATACCTCAGCCTGGGCGCGCTCAAGATGCACATCCGAAGCCACACGCTGCCCTGTGTCTGCGGGACCTGCGGAAAGGCCTTCTCCAGACCCTGGCTGCTGCAGGGCCACGTCCGGACCCACACTGGTGAGTGTCGCCACCCCCGCGGCCTTCTCCATCGGCCTTGCGCTGAGCTCACTTCCAAAGCTGAGGTCTCGAGTCTCCTAACTTCTAGTTCAGGTTCAGGGTCCTGGCCTTTTGGGATGGTGGGCAGAAATAGTCCCTCACCAGCTCTGCAGATGGGCGGCTCCATGCCTTTCAGGTTCTTCTGCAGCTTCCCAGCCAGATCCACTGGGGCTGGCTTATGGGAAAGGTGCAAATGACACCTTGCTGTGTGGCCAGGAGTAAAGGGACCCACCCTGTTCCCAATTCCACCTCAGCCAGACCGGATGTTGGCAGATTCCCCACATGGCTTTGGGAACTTCCTCACAGGTGGGATGATGTTTTGCCTCTCTGTGCCTCAGTTTCCCCATCTGTAAAATGTTCCTAATAATAATGCTTCGCTGGGTTCCTGTACAGATTAAGTGGAAGAATGTATATGGAAAGAGTCAGCAAAGTACTTGCACGGTGATAAGCTGGAGAAAAATGCTAGCTGGTATTTACTCTGCTTCCTTGCTGTGTGACCTTGGGCAATTGGTTTAACCTCTCTGAGTCTCCAAGAGGATTATGATAGGACATGCTTTACAGGGTGGCAGTTGAAGAGTGTTAATCCCTTTATGATAATGTATTCTAGCCATTTTGCTTCTCAGATCCGCTTTTTCCACCCCCACTCAATCCTACCATGCAGACCAGGGAACAACTTTGTTGGCAGAAAACACAGTGTCTTGGTGCTTCAAATACTAAATGCATGGGAAAGTTTGTGGAAATGAGGGAAAGGCAGCTCCCCGCCTTGAATTCAAACGATAGGGGTTGCTATTCGGTGCCCTCTGGAGGGTCGGACTGGCAGGTTAGAGGCTGAGGAGTTGTGCCCTTCCTGTCCCAGTGGCTGACCAGTTTTGGGAAGGCCTGGTTTCATTATCACATGCCCATTTCTCGTGCTTCGTGCACACACAGCCCTGATTTAACCTATAGAGATTCAACCACCTGGCCTGGCCTGGCCTCTCTCCTGGGAGGCTGCCCAGCTAATGGGGACTCTGCTTGTGGGGAGTTGAAGCCCTCAGAGTGCTTGGGGTGGGGGGGCGCAGTGTTTAATGTAAAGGCTCAGACACAAACCACCTCCTCGTTGACTCCATTGTGCGCCTTAATGGTAGCCCCAGTGGGTGGGGGCTGGGAGGGGTGGAGCAGGTGCACCGGGCAGCGGTGCCCAGCACCTGTTCCGGCCCGCAGCTGCTGGCCCATGGTGTGGCAGGCCTTTTTAATCCAGGGGGTATCACATGTACAGTGCCCCCCTCGGCAGCCTTTGTCCCCACCAGCCTGGTGCTGATTTCACACTTGCTGGGATTTGTTGGGGTGGGCGGGGTGCCACCCTCACCCTCACCCTCATCTTACAGTGGGCTCCATAGGCCCTTCTGCGTCTGCATAGTCAGTCTTGGTTCCTGCGGGGCTGTGACCAAGGATGAGCCTCACGCAATGCAGGCTTCAGACCCCTCAGGCCTGGGTGCAGAGGGACCTGTGCAGGCATCCCGCAGGGGTGCGTTTCCTGCGTGTCCCCATGGGGCGGAGTCAGCCTTTGGGACCCCTCCACCCCAGTGCTCCACCTCTCCTGTGGGCCATTTCCAGCTTGTCTTGAATTAGGCACTGGAACTGAACCAGAGGGGCCTGGCCTGGGGCCCTAGGGGGCCCGGGTGGCAGTCGCAGGCTGGGAGAGTGGTGAGGATTGCGTTGTTTTTGAAGGATAGTCAGCATTATAAAATAGTGCTTGGCACATAATAGGTGTTTGTTTAATGAAAAGAAAACCCAAAACTCAACATTGCCACTCTTTGGGACTATATCCTCTTGGTTGGGGCAGGGGAAAAACTTTAATCTGGTAACTGAGGGGCCAGGCTTCTTTGAGGCTTTGCCTTGTCCAGGCAGGTGTATGTCAGGGTCACAGGCTTCTCTTGCCTCTGTGGGGGTCCCAGGCTCTGGGTGGGGTTTGGAATGGGCTCAGGAGAGGCCCTTGGCCTTCTGGGACCTAGTGTGATAGAGGGCAGACAGGAGACTCGGGATTACGGTTCTGTGCTGGCTGCACAGGGCCCTGAGGAGTGGCCTAACCAGCTATGAGGTGGGGGTGGGGAGGCCTCTTAAGGCTGCCTCTTTATCTTTGTCCCCAGAGAAAATCAAGGAATGATTCCAGGACTGGTCATTCTGAGCAGCAAGCACAGCTTCTCTTGGTTCAAGGGCCAGTGTGTCCTGGTTAAAATCAGGGGCCTGGAGGCCTGCTGGGTGACCCTGAACAGGCTTCTTAGCTTCTATGCCTCAGTTTCCCCATCTGAATCTGAGGACCAAGGAGGATCCAGTGCCTGTAGGATTAATCAGTGAAAGTGTTCAGCCATCTCTGTTGAGCACCTCCCATGAGCCTGCATGGTGGGGATAATACTTTGTCACCCTGCTGCCTCTCAGTCACTGGCCAAGTAGGGAGGGACGGCCCCATGTGGCAGGTGAGGGAAGAGCAGCCCAACACTCGGGCTGCCCAGCGGGAAGTGGCAGGACCGTGGTCTCCCTGGGCTCACGGGGTTCTTTCAGGACTGGATGGGCATCCCAGGAAATGTCTGTCCCCACTCACCAGCTGGCATCTCTCCCCAGGTGAGAAGCCCTTCTCCTGCTCCCACTGCAGCCGCGCCTTCGCTGACCGCTCCAACCTGCGTGCGCACCTGCAGACCCACTCAGACGTAAAGAAGTACCAGTGCCAGGCCTGCGCCCGCACCTTCTCCCGCATGTCCTTGCTCCACAAACACCAAGAGTCAGGCTGCTCTGGGGGCCCCCGCTGACCTCCTGCCTCTCCGCCCCACCTCAGCAGCCTTCTCGCTGCCTCCTGAGCGCCCAGGCCTGGCTGTGTTGGGCCCACAGGACTTCGGTGAAGCCTGCCTCGTTCTGATCTCTGCCCTGGCCTCAGTGAGCTTGGAAAGAGGCCTCCATGGCCTTTTCTGTGGACAGTACTGGGAACGGCGGGGACAGCAGTTTGCCTTGGAGTCCTTCCTGCTGGAGCATTCCTGAGGTGGCTGCTGCGTGGGTTTGTGTATCCAGAGCTGTTTGGATACAGCTGCTTTGAGCTACAAAAGCAGACTGACTGACTGGGAAGCTCCCGTCCCACTCAGGGGACCCACACCCCTACCTCCCCCTCCCACCAAGGACCTCTCCGGCCACCTTCCTTAAGGTGTCACTGACTATGCAATAATCCCACCCGGCTGCATCCACGGGCCTTGGGCGGTTGCTGCTGGCTGGGCAGGAGGGCGTGTCCAGACCTGATGCGCTCGGCAGCCTCGAGTTTGTCACGGTGACACTGGGTTCTTCGGCAACTTAACAGTGTCTCAAAAGGGACTCTGAATAATGGCCATCACTTGTCAGGGACCAAGTAGGGTGACCCATTGTCTTCCAGAACTATTTTGGGGGCCGGGCAGGTGGCCTGGGAGGAAGATGTTTACATTTTTAAAGGTACACTGGTATTTATATTGCAAGCAACATTTTGTATTAAGGAAACATTTTGTATAGTTCCATGTACAGTTTATTGATATTCAATAAAGCGGTTAATTTATACATTAACAGCTCTTCTCCGTTTTGTAGGGGTGGGGTGGGTGTTTTCTTCAGGAAGGGAGGAGGGGCCAGGGATTCCTGGATTCCTGGAGCTTGGATGTTTCTGACCCAGCCTTAAGTCTTGACCTTGGGGACAAAGGGCATGTGGCTTTGGCATCCTGACTGTCAGGACTGAAGGCAACAATGGGGTGTCTGGGCCCAGGTGTCCTGTGTGGAGGTTCCATGCCCCTGGCGAGCAGCAGGGACACCAGGCAGGCTCCCTGCATCCCATATGTGCCGCTCGCAGGTATCTGTGGCTTGCATGCTAATGCTGACCAGGCCCAGTGGGTGCAAAGCTGCTCCCTTGGTCTGGTCAACTGGCCAGGCTGTAGCTGTGCTCCACCAGGTCTTTGGGGTGGGACTGGCTGTCCCTCCCAGATGAAGGAGAGGATGTCCTTCCTGTTCCCAAGAGCCTCCCTGTCAGGCAGGCCCACACCTCCGTCTGGCTGCTGGGCACCAAATGGCCTTTGAAGCGAGGAAATTGGCTGGCTGGAGCCAGGAGGGTGAGAAGCCAGGCCAAAGGGTAGTGGTCATTCAACTTCCTGCTCAGAGGATGGGGCGGGAGGACAGCTTGTGTCCTGGGCTGGGGCAATTCACTCCTGGATGCTGCTGGTGGTGACTTCACCTCTGGGGGCCTCCTGGGGCCAGGAGAAAATGAGTGTCCTTCCTGAACACAAAAGGTGCCGAAGGTGCCAGTTTCCTGCGGGGAGCGAGCAGGCCGCCAACCCCAGAGCCAGAGCTTCAGAGTCAGTGAGACTGCGCTGGGGGAAGGAAGGGGGCTCCGCGCTCCAAGGAGAGATGAGTCTTTCTTCTAAACAGGAAATGGTGACCCGCAGGCCGGGAGCAGCCCTTAATGACTTGCAGCTTTCCTCCCCAAAGGAAAAAAAAACTGTTTTCTAACAATCGCCAAATTGTGGCTGGCCTCCCTGAAGGGAAGTTAGGGAGTTGGGGGCGGGGCACGGCCAAGCTGAAGGCCTACTGTGCCCCAGTCCTTGTGATCACAGCATCCTGCCTGGCCACAGTGGTGCTGAGGCAATGCTGGCCAGCGAATACTTCACGTGGGCCCCGAGGGACGGACGCCTGCAAGAGGAGGCCCGACCTACCTAAGGGACTGATCTGAGGTCACAGGCCTGAGCTTCTACCTGGCCTCAGTCATGCTGGGAGTCAGGTAGGCCTGGCTAATGCCCCTGACTGTCAGGTCACAGTGGGCGTCGGTGTCAGAAGCAAGCAAGGCCCCAGTTTCTGCCTCTGTAAACTAGGAGACTGGGCAAGGTGTCTTGTCTATTCATCCTGTGAGATGCCAGGAACACCGGGGGTGCCAGGCCCTGTTCTAAGCCCAGGAGTGACAGCCATGAAAAAGACAGTCAGTCCCTGTGCTCATGGAACTTATGTTCTGGTGTTAAATAAACAAGCCGCTTTCTGACGGGTGGTGCCAGGATGGAATGAGAGCCTGGGAGGCCAAGGGAGGCTGGAGAGTGGCGGGCGGGGCTCCCGGCCACCAAAGTCTGCAGAGCCCTTGGGAGGGTTGACTTCCACTGAGACCTGGAGGGGGACAAAGATGCAGCCAGCCCTCCCGCCCCAGGGAGATCTGGGGGAGGGACCAGCAGGCTGCAGGCTGAAAGCTAGAGCCGGTGGCTGGAGGGGCCTGGGAGGAGGGACAGCCTGTGGCTGTGCTCAGCCAGGATTTCTTCCCAGCCCCAAGGGCAGCCACAGGGCTTTCAGGTGGGAAGCTGGAGGCCACTTTTAACTTGGGAACAGGGTCCCATGGCTGCCTGGGGGAGCAGAGTTTAGGGTCAGAGAGGAGAGAGGTAGAAGCTGGGAGACAAAGATGGAGATGAACAGTAACAGGTGACAGTGACCTGACCCAGGGCTGTGGCAGAAATCTGGAAGTTTAGGGCAAAAAGCCAATAAAAGTGAATCCCTTGGGGAATTGCAGGAGGTGGAATTGGGGTGAGTGGGGGCCGAAGAGAGGGAGCAAGGCAGAGTTCAAATTTGTTTTGTTTTTGGAGACAGGGTCTTACTATGTAGCCCAGGCTGGCCTTGAACTCTCAATCACCCTGCCTCCACCTCCTGAGTGCTGGGATTATAGATCTGCCCCACTGTGTCCAGTGGAAATTTGCTTTTTTAACTTTTATTTTGAAATAATTTCAACCTGACAGAAGTTGCAAGAAAAGGACAATACATTGGGATCATTCCCTCAGATTCTTAATGTGCTAAGGATTTCATTATCTTTGCATCTCTTTCTCTGTTCACACATGTTATTTCTGAACATCTCAGAGTAAGTTGTACACATGCCGTCCTTTCGTGCCAAATACCTTCGTCCCCCTCCCCCTCCCTCCCTCCCTCCCTTCCTTCTTTCCTTCCTTCTGCTGTCTTGGGAATGAAACCCAGGGCCTCACACATGCTATGCAAGCGTGCTACCACTGAGTCACAACCCCAGCTCTCACGGCAATTTTTTCCTATATTTCCTAAGGACGCTTATGCACTCAGTGATCCACAAAATCAGGAAACTTTGCATGGATGGGGGCTCTGTAATCTAGTCATAACTGGGACTCCCAGCTGCCCGATGGTGTCCTCCACAGCCTTTTGGGGTGGGGCGAGATTGGTCCAGGCTCCTGTGTCCCATCTCCTCAGTCTCTTCGGCCTGCCTTTCTTTCATGACTCCAACCGTAGGAAGGCAGGACACAGGCCAGCTGTTCTAACGCCTGCCCCTGGGGCTCAGGCCCTGTTTCTTCACAGTTAAGTCTGTGTGAGGTGGGGCCACAGAGGCAGCATGGGTCTTCCCTGGTAAAGGTGAGGCACAGCTGACTACCTGGTCCAGGTCCCCCGATGAAGTTTCTCTTGCCCCTTTGGTGCTTAGCCCACATCCTGTGGGGAGGAACTTGGAGACCCAGGGAGGCGGGTATCCTGCTCCCCTCAAACAACTCCCACCATGGCTCCTGCCTTTGCTGGGGATTTAGCTGGCAACGGCATGGCAGCAGTTATGGAGCAGAGAGCTCCCAGCTCCACCATCTCTTCTACTTGGCGGGTTGGCTTTCTCCCCAAGAACTCTGCTGGCCCTGGGAGGAGAGAGAGACTGGGCAGGAGCCTCAGGACCTGGTGGGGTCATTAGATCCTCCCCTGGGATTTTCTTTAAAACAAGTCCAGGAAATAAACTGGCTGCAAAGGCAGTCTCCATGTGAATGACCAGGCAAACAGGTCCAGGACAGGGCCACCTCTGGGCACATCTGGGCCCCATTAGTGACCTGGCCGCTGCTCAGAGGCGTCCCCTGAGCTGGGATGGGGCATCCTGGCAGACAGGGACCCGGGAGGCCCTTGTTCCCCTTTGCTTTTAATTGTCAATTTTGTAAATGTTATGGGAATTTATTTTTTCATTTAAAAAAATAAAAGGAAAGCTGAGACGTGAGGCTCAAGTAACATGTTACCGACACACGCTGTTCCAATCCTTACTGTCCCCAGCGTGACGCCATGAGCAGCTTAGTTTATGTTTCTCTGAATTAAAAAAAAAAAAGAAAGAAAGAGAAAAGCCCAGTTCTGTGGTGCACATCTGCAATCCCAGCTACCCTGAGATCGGGAGGATCCAGGTCAGCCTGGGGTGGGGGGTGGGGGAAGTTTTCAAGATTCTATCTCAAAGGGAAAAAGCTGGTTGTGGTGGCACGAGTCTGTCACACCAGCTGTGGTGAGAAGTGTAAAACAGAAAGAAAGATCACAGCCCAGGCCAGCCTGGGCAAAAAGAGAGACCCCATCTCCAAAATAACCAGAGCAAAAAAGGCTGGCTGTTGGCTCAAGCTGTAGAGTGCCTGCCTCGCAAGTGTGCAGTACCACCAAACAAAACAATAGGTGCTTGGCCTAGCTTGCACAAAGGCCCTGGGTTCCATTCCTAGAACCACAAACAACAAAAACAAAACCCCAATATGTGTGCATGACTGCCTGGTTCTACGAGGGTCTGCTCCATTGGTCCCATCACCTCTGCCTCCCTAGTCCCTTCCCTGTTGCGGTCATTCCTCCACCCACCACACTTGCTGCCACCTCATGGAAGAAACACTGCGTCCCAGAGAGCCACACAGCCACCTCCACCTCTCCCCTTGCCAAAATTCCCATTTCATTCTTCATGGCTTCTCTGGTGACACCAGAGCATCAGCTCCACACAGGTGATGCTCCGTGCACCATCTCAACCCCTCTGCTCTCTTCTCACACACAGAAGGTGCTGAGTGGGGATGAGTGACACATGCCATGGGAACACAGGTGGCCGCCTCCGTCCAGGGCACCTGCTGTGTGCCAGGCGCTGTGCTGAGGTAGATTGGCTCATTAAACTTCACAGCCAACCTCAGGAGGAAACCTAGCCACAGAGAGGTTAAGTGACTCATCCAGGGTAACACAGCAGTAAAGTGCAGAGCTAGGCTTGGAACCCTGAGTTCTTTTATTACTGTT